AAGATGTTTCTAATATAGAAAATAAGATGTTATTCTTGGCTACAGAACAATATGTATCTCATTCAGATTGCATCGAAATCGTGGGTTTATTCCAGTTTAAAGAAAAACGTTCGTGAAAAAATCATGTAAAAATCTGCACGCACGATTTTCACGGACGTTTTTCTTTAAACTAGAATAACTCTGCGAATATCGATGATACCGGGATGAAACACATACTATTTGTAGCCAACAACAAGTTAGTTTTATTTATCTTAGAAATATCTTGGTAGAAAATCGCTCTATGTTGTACAAATAGCGAGCAAATAAAAAATTTCACACGGATGATCTGGTTTCGAAAGTTTAAACCGGATCACCCATGGTATCCTCGTGAAACCGAATTATATAAACCCAGTTCTAATCCCTAGTGGGATATAATATCCTATAGTCATTTATGGAAACCCTACATGGATTATGTATTTTATGATCTATGAAAATTCTGAGAATAGCGGTTTCCCATAGGGTATTTCAAAAGTTAAAAAATGTGAAACTACTAAGCGTGTTGAAGTTGTTCAGAGTATCCAGAGTGTTCAGAATATTCAGATGCTAAACAAAGGCGAAGATCATGAAGTACGCGAAAATTTTGGTATTGGTTAAAATTCCCTCATGTTAAGAATTGGAATAAAAAAAAAATAAAAATTTTTTGAGTAAAATTATTTTGCACAATATTAAAAAAATTTATAAAACATTCATTTTGCTTTTTTAATTATTATTTATTTTAACTAGTTGTCTAGATATTTAGATTATCTAGATATTTAGAAGTAATAAATATTTAGGTGACACCATTGATATAACAGTAGCGATATAAATGGTAGTCAGCATAATAATGATATTTTTTACTTATTCAATAAAATTAGAACCAATTAAATAATTAACAATTTATTTACCTTTTTAATTTTATTTAATCGACCCAACATGTTTAATTACACCGATACACCATTACTACAGCAACTCGAGTTACCTCAGTGAGTGAGGCATATTAAATTAGTGTTACAAATAAAATGTTCAGTATTTATTTTAATGTATTTTTAATTTATTATTAATTAAAATAATAGCTTCGAGGATTAAAATAATATTTACGTATATACAGTATATTAATCTGAGATTAAAAATTTTATAATTTCACGTTTAAATCTAACTTTAATATTTCTGCGTCTCGTATAAATTTATTATTTACACATATATTCCAATAACTAATAAAAAGATTAAAGATTTTAATCATAAATCTTATATATTATATATTATTAAAAACCTAACCTACGGTATTTTAGATTACATTTTTATTTTTATTTGAAAATAAAAAATAATAAACAATAAATTATATATTAATTAATTAATTATTCATTAAATTATATTTTTTAAATGAAATAGGAAATGGCTACTCAAGAAATTGAATGGAATGCTAAATTAAAAAGAGCTTGGGATAAATCATTCTATAGTATGGACGTCAATATTCATAAAACAATTACGGAGCAAGAAAAATATCGAAAAAATATTATTAAAAATGATTTATCTCTCACAGAAAACGAAAAGAAATTTTTATGTAATAAATTGCAGATGGCATATGATACAATAAGAATTGATGGAAATTCTGTAGAAAAACAACAATGCGACAGTTGTCAGAATTGGCATCAAGCAACTCAATATTGTGAATTTTGCATTCGTAAATATTTAGAAAATAATTTTGGAAATTGGACATCTGGAAATAATGAAATTGACAGATTAATTCAAGAATGTCAACAAACGACTGTAAAACCCAATTATGTAATTGAATGGATTAGTTATGATCAATTTGAAAATGTCAAATATCTGGCAGAAGGAGGATATGCTACTATTTATACAGCGATTTGGAAAGATGGGTGTTGTTATAAATGGAATTCTGAAAGACAAATATTGGAAAGATTTGGAGGACTAAAGATTGTTTTGAAAAGATTGAATAACTCAAATAGTAATAATGTGCATTGGTTTCGAGAAGTGAGTTAAATCACTATTGTATTTATTATATTTGTTTAGCATTTAAGAAATATTAATTAAATAATATAATCAATTAATAGGTGTTATTAAGTTTCAAACTTGATAATACTTCCCAATTTCTTGTTAAATGTTACGGACTAACTAAAGATCCAACCACCCAAGATTATATGTTAGTTTTATTTTATTATCATAATGATTTAAGACATTTTTTAAAAGATAATTATCAGTCACTTACATTATTACAAAAATATCGTATTATTGAGAATATAGCAATGAGTTTAGAAAGAATTCATAACCAAAATATAATACATAGAGATTTGCACTCAGGAAATATTTTATATTTTGCACCAAATTCTGCCTGGTATATTAGTGACTTAGGATTAAGTGGTCCTGTTAACATGCAATTAGATAGTATTTATGGGAGTCTTCCACGCATTGCACCTGAACTTTTATGCAAAAGAAATTACACAACAAAATCAGATATGTATAGTTTAGGTATTATAATGTGGGAAGTGATTACTGGTGAAACTCCCTTTAGTAATCATGAATTCAATTCTGACTCAGATTTTGCCTTTGCAATAATTAATGGATATAGACCTAAAATTTACAAATATATACCATATGAGTATGCAAATTTAATGAAACAGTGTTGGGATGCTAATCCTGATAATAGACCTGATACAGATACAATTATGAAAAAAATACAATCATTAATTCGATCATTATATAATGAAATGGATAAGCAACAAGAATCAACTATTCAATCTAATAGCTCAAAATCAAGTTTATCCCAATCAAGTTTAATAAAAGATAACATTAGCCAAAAAATCCAAACCAGTAAAGTATATACATTTAACATTTCAGCTCAACCTAGAAATGCCACGGAAGGTAATATATTTTAAATTTTATTTTTTATTTATTTCATTTTACATTTTATTAATCAATTTATTGGATTTCATTTTATAATTTTATAGAAGAACAACTGGGTAAGCTTACTTAAATTATTAATTTAAACAAAAATCTCCAAATTAATCTTTATGTATTTCATATTTAGCATATGAAACTAAACAATTTGATTTTGAAATTTCTGAAGGTAATATTTTATTAATTTTTTTTAATACAATTAATATTTATTTGATTTAATTTAATTTTTGTATTTCAAAAATATAGAACTTGAGCAACTATCGCTTGATGATGATGTTGATAATTTAAATGATTCTCAAGATAATTAAAATGATTTCATTTTATACCATTCTATATTTCATAATTAATTATTTATTTTTTCCTTCAAATTCAGACTTACAGTTTCATGAATAAATTTATTTCTTTTTTTTATTATTGAATTATTTTATTTTTTATATTGTCCATTTTTACGTACCATTTTTAATTTTATTATTTTTGTTATTTAAACAAATGTTTTATTTTTTAATCATTATAACAAGCGAATTAACTTATTACTTATTTTAATAATTCCTAATTTTAATCATAATCATCAATAATCATATTTTATCAGAAAGGAGAATTTCTTTTAATACTGGAATTATATCTACCGACATTTTCTTCATTTCTTTATTTTCGTCACATACTTTTCAAATTTTTTATTTTTTTAAAGTTGAATTATTACGTCTGGTTGCGCGAATTACGTTACTAAGGCGGCTTATTAAAAAAAAAAAGTTATTATAATTATTTATTATCTATATTAGTAACATTTTCATTGCTATAACTTGTATTAATGGCGTTGTTTTTTTTTTACTAATTTCTTTTTTAGTATAAATTCTCATTTAAGTGGACGTGAATACTTTGAATTTAATTTTGATTATTATTATTATTAGTAATCACTTATAATAATGTAGCGCTACCTTTAAGAAAGCCTGTCAATTTCTTATTAGATTATTTAACATTTCATTCTCATCATCATCATCTAAAAAGTTAGAAATAATGCTTACACCATCATTTCTAAATGAAAAAAAAAATTTTTTTTCTAATTAGTTTATTTGTATTTTTATTTTATTGTTATTATGCAATTTGTCTATAACCATGACGTATATAATACGTATCCTACTGAAAAGAATAAAATAAAAAATTTCAGTAAAAAAAAAAAAAATTATAAAACGACAATATTTTTTTTATTGTTTTCTTTAATAAAATTAATCATAGTGTTTCTGAGAATAATTGCAAACTATCTTCTCTTGAAATAAATACATTATGCGTTATTCTTCACATATTGTAAAAAAAAAAAAATAACATCGATAATTGATTAAGAATAGAATTAAAAACTAAGTATAACGCGTTTGTGAGATAAAGATAAATTTATTTTATGGCTCTGAATACAATGAAACCACTAAAATGATTTTTTTTTTATCATGCAAATCATTTATATAATTACTCGTTCTTCTTTTCTGTAGAAAATAATCTGTTTTCATTATTTTAATTATTATTATTTTAAATTTAAACATAGATAATCCACCAGTAAACTATAGAAATTTTTAATATAGAATGCTTTCATATAAAACTTTTTTATAAAAATTCTGAGATATAGACTAATTTAATCATTGGATTTTTATTAAAATATAAAATTATGTGAAAAAATTATTGAAAAATTTTAATTTTATAAAATAAATGTTTTACATATTTGTATTAATAAAGTATGCAATAATAAATTACGAAATACAGTATTAAAAATTTAAATTTAAAGTAACAAATTTAAGAAAGGCTGTAACTTATTGCGCCATTAATAAAGCATATATATATTTATTTATATATATACTAAAATAAATGATTAATTAATTAGTTAAATAATTAAATTTTAATTAATTATAATTACGTGATTAAGATAATATAATATTGCATTGACTAACGGAAAACTAACAAAACATTTGTTATTATAAAATATTTCTTCGTAAAATTTACGCAGTGTTTAGGAACATCGTGTTCTTTATCTGTAATATTCTTCTTTGTCAATTAATAAATTGGTGCAATCCTCAAGCATTTTAAAATGTTCCAAGATTGGAAAGTGTGAAGACACATCCAAATATTGTTCCAGAAACTTGTAAAATATTTTCAAGAAAAGAATATTCTTTGTTGTACCATCGTTTTTCATGAATAAGTACAGCAACAGTTGCAGCTGGGGATGATCCATAAATTCCATTCAATCCTTATAATCCTTCATTTTGTATACGTGGAAAATCTTCTATTGAATGGATTAAAATTATCAGTTGTCTCATTTGGCCATTTTAAAGATAACTTCCAACAGTGTCAGTGATAATATTCTTTGTTTTCTTTTAAGAGCTTTGTTTTTCGGAGAATTTAGCAGGATAAACTTCATTAAAACATTTCTGATTGTGTATTGTCAGATAGATCTAATAAATTTTCATATTTATTATCAAATGAGTAAATTACAGGATTTATTTTTGATAAATTTTTAATCAAAAAACATAATTAAAAAAAAATTATATTTTAAATAAAAAAAAATTATGGCACTTGTCCTTTATTTATTCATTTTTTTTTAAAAATTTAAATTTGAAATTATTTTTATAAAATAAATCATTTTTCTATTTTATTAAATAAAACTTTGTTTTCAAAAATATTAATCATTTACAAATTCAATTAATTAAATGAAAAAAGAAAAACTATTTATTATTAAAAAATTTAAAATATCTTGTTTACTCAAAAAGATAAAGAAAATTGATCTATTTATTTTAAATAAATAAAATAAATAATAATGTTTTTAATAAAAATCAATAAAAAAATTATTTGACATTTTAAAAAGATGAATTTTTTAAAACAAATAATAAAATAAAATTATTTTAAAAGATTTAAATTTTTTCAAAGAATATCAATTAATTATTTTGTGTTCTGGTTGTTCTGGTTTTTCTGGTTGTTTTTGTTGGAGGTTTGAATTGTTCTGATTGTTCTGATTGTTCTGGTTGTTCTTGTTGAGAATTTAAGACTTCTGGTTGTTCTTGTTGAGAATTTAAGACTTCTGGTTGTTCTTGTTAAGAATTTAAAACATTCTTATTTGGAAGGGGATTGGAATTTAAAGCTGTTGTAAGAGTATTAGTTGATCTTCTTCTTGTAGTTCTAGGTGATGCTCCTCTTGCAACACAGTTTGGTCATCTTGAATTTAACCAAGATACATTCATAATTTGGTTATTGTTTGTTTGATTGTTGTAGTTGTTGTAAATTAAAGAAATATCTTCCAAGTCTAAACTAAACTTGAAAGGTGATATTTCCAGATTAGTTACTGGATCATTGATTGGAAGTACATTTTTGATTATTCCAATCAAGATGACAGTTGTGGATCTTGAATTTGATGAAATGAGCTGGTTTTATTTATGAGGTATCAATTATTGACTTTATGTTTTACTTCTAGCCAAAAGTTTTTTGGTTCTAAATCACCTAAATACTTATCAATGTTAAAATTTAAAACAGAATAATCATTTTCATTCCTTACTGTTTGTGTTGTGACTCCAGTTAGTACCACATTGATTTCAATTGCAGGCATTAAATTAAATTCATTTCATGAAGTACTTTAATTGAAGTAGCAGTAACCTTTAAAATAATAAAAAATCAAGAATTAATTATATTATTTGATTTTTTAATTGAATAAAAAAAGAATAAGAGGACAAGTGAGAAATAAGAAGAATAAAAGAAAGGAGAAAGGTAAAAGAGAAAGTGACAAGAAAAAAAAATAAAAAAAAAATAAATGAGAAAAAAGACAAGACAAAGAGAAACTTATTGAATACCAGCCTTCATGGGCAATGAATTTACCCTTCAGAAATATTACTTGCTCAATCTCAAAGTCTTTTATATTGTTTTCAACTTCTTGGTTTAGTGGAATAAAAACCTTTATTTGTAAATAAATAATTTCAGCAGAATCCATATCATTTAATTTTGAGATTGCAGTTATTTCTTTTAAAATAAATTCATTTGTATTTCATTCATGTAAATAGCAAATAATATGTAAGTTTGCTGGCATTCTAGAATAAAAAATAATAATAATAAATTTGTAATAATAATAAAAATAGAAAAGTAAATGATGTCAATTTAATTATTTTTTTTAAAAAAAAATAAAAAATATATATATTTTTTAATTAAAATAATGGACTAGTTTTCTATACTATAATTATGTAGGTTGAAAAAAAAATAAAATATTTCTTAAAAAAGATATTGCAACATTTTATTTATCTTTTTTTTTCAAAAAGGATTGAAGATCAATATATAAAATAATTTAATAACTTGTAAAAATGAGAAAAGAATTTACTAAATATGTTAAAAATAAATAAAAAATTTAATTTTTTTTTCGTAATGACTATTTTAAGTGGTAAAAAAGATATTAATGTGATAATCACTTATAGTAATAAATAAAAATAAGAATTTTAATAAAATAATCACTTATATTTATTTTTATAAGTGATAAAAAATTAATAAAAATTATTTTATTTATTTTTATAGTGATTATCAAAATAATTTTTCGATAATCTACAAAAATAAATAAAAAAAATAACTTTATTATAAGTGATAAAAAAAATATGGGTTATCTTTCAGCTGTTAGATGTTAGAAGTAATTAAAGGAAAGCAAAGAAACCAGTTAATAGGGATAAAGCACCTAAACTGAAAAGACTAATCAAGGAATTGAAAACAGATAAGTGTATATATATATACGTATATGAAAAAAACTCTTTCCGACGATCATTTTGCCAGAATTTTCAAGGAAGAGAAAATATAAAAAACACTACAAACAAATAA